CAAATGATACTTTATAACTTTTAAGTTATATAGATTTTCGATATTTTTGTATACGTGATATATTCATTATATTAGAAAATTAATCGATAAAAATTATTTAAATTCAATTTGGAATATGTGATTTATAAAAATGTAAATTGACATTATATAGATATCGTGAAAAATTTGATATTAATAATAATTTAAATGTAAGGTGACTATCTTTTCAATGGTTATTTGAAAATAGAACTTGTTTTTCTATACTTAAATGAATAAAAATACATAAAACAATATACGATCAATAATTATAGATATGTCTGCTTTTAGTTAAAGTTACTGAATTATAATATCCTATTATTTTTTCGAATTATTTATAAATTCACGGACAAGTGTAAGTGGCAATAGAATTAAATACGCGTTAGTACATGTTTTCAGACTTATTAATTAGGAATGTCTTAAAGATCAACAAATCCATAACTTTTTTTAATTTCTTTATATGATTCCGATTTTCCATCTCACAAAAATTTGGATCATTCGCGTAAAATTATATTTTTCTCAAACCTTGATAAATATATATTGTAATATGTATATAATAACATTCCATATTTCTATAATGTTAATATTTTTATTAAATATATCATTAATACAATTAAATTAATTTATATGAGATTGATATCATACGTAATAATAATTAATCAGTAAATAATAATTGGTTTTTATGATATGAGACTTTATATAATATTATGTTTCTTAATTTATTTAAACTTCAGTTCACCTGAACTAAAGCATTTACTAGTATTAGGATTATTATTAGATAACTCAGAAAAATTTCATTCGTATTTCATTTTTACCTTAGAAAATTGTGTCTAAATAAAAATTTCATTTTTAAATACAAATGCATAAATAAAGCCATGAAATTATTATTAATAATTTTAAAGTATAACTGTAAGTTACCATAACGAATTTTGTATTTTATTTTTATATAAATATAAAAATATATTTTTCATTGATAATTTATTTGAAGAAATAAATCATTTATTTCTACCACATCAACTATGAAACATATTACAAATATTAAAAAAGCAGTTTAAGTGAATAATATAAAAATACTTATTAACTTAATATCCTAATAAATTTTTATTACGTATTAAATATTTGTGTCATAAGTTCGTAGTTTCATACTGTAAACAAAATAAATTATCGTATTATTGCTAAAATAATATTTTTATATAATACTATTTTAACCTGAATGGGCGGTTAAGTATAAAAATTTAAAAGCATAACTGATGTGTTTTCTCAAAAGTTTGATTAATATAAATTGATGTCGTAAGCAATTATGATTATTTAATAATTTATATGAGGTCAGTTAAATATATATTGCAGTCTTTTTCTCTTAACTACTGAACTTTCAACATAACAGGTTACAAAATATGCATAATCCTCTAAATAGGCAACACAGACAAATGAAGGTAGAAGTGAAATGTGTAAAAATTCTATGAATTTGAAGATTTTAATGCATTAAAATATTACTTATATATTAGTTGATAAATCTCTATTTTAGAATTATTCGCCTCCTTATAAACATAACAGTAAATGAAGAAGAACCACATTTACTTGATTCCATATATCATGTAGAAATTGGTTTTGTCTAATATGTGTAATATGAAACTTTAGAGAAAAAAAATATAAAAAATAAAAATAAAAGATAAAAAAATAAACAATAAAAATAAATAATATTATAGAGAATACTTAGGATTTTCAAGTAGTTCTTTATCGTATAAGTATAGAATGTTAAATAATTATTGTTTTCTAATTATTTTTACATCTAAAGTAAATATAAAATATTGTATAGATTAAATTTTTAAATAACTTTGTATCTATATAATATTCATCCAGTAAATATTATGATAATTAAAAATAATATTTTGTATCTTCAGAATCGACTTTTTCCTTTATACTCTGATAAAATAGTAAATTGATTATGTTTTTGTTAAACTTCTATTTGAACAGTTGTATAAAGAATTATGATTATCATTGATATCACTATATGAAATGCATACTTTTATCTCTTTAATTAAGACGGTATGACACATTTATCATATCAACATACAGATGTTGTAATATGTAATTTTATTGAATGATACTATTAGTGATTAAAAAACAATTTATTTCAGGTAGAGAACAATCACAGTTGTCGTATTATTAGTTGAGTACGAGTTACAAGGCAAAGATGATTTGCTTAATTTGATTAATTAATTGTTCAAGTATACGTTTTAATCAGTGTAATTAGATTTTATTATATTGTGTATTAAAAAATATGTAAGTCGTAAATAAATTTATTTTCTTTTAAACTAGCAATATATTATTGGAATATAATTTTTATTTAATATTTAATATTTATTATTTTTAAAAAAATCACGTTACATTCCGTTTTATTTAGGAAAGTATAAATAATCAAAGTATAAATTAAATATTATCATGATATTTATTGTGTAAGCAACCATTTATTCAAATACTAAAAGAATTATTAAACAGTTTTATTTAACTTCGAATGAACGGATTTATAGGTATAATATTATTAATATTTAAAGCATATTAGAATAAGTTTTTTCTTTAAGTATCAGATATTACAAATAATTTAGAAAATATTATAAAAATTCTACACAATTAATATTTTGACAGTCAAGAGAGAGTAACATCATTTTATATCAAAATTATGTAACGACTTGCAAGTACATGTTTTATAGGTTAAGAAATTAATACAATTGAATTAATGGATTCATTTGTATTTAAATCATTACAATTAAGAATATAATTTATATAATAATTTTTTATTAAGCATATTATGTGCATTGTACATAAATATATTCTTCTGCGAATACGGTCTTGATAAACTACTCATTATTATATAAAAAGTTTATTAATAATCAATAATAACAACGTACGTTTAACATTAATTAAAATAACTCGATTCGTTAATCTTTTCAAATGTTTAATATTCATTCGAGTGCATTACGTCATATATTTTACAAAAACGATTAAATTAAAAAGTTTCTTCTAAATTATGAGAAGATTTGTGAATTTTATAACTACATATGTAGACATAAGCCTACGCAAACCACCTAACCGAACATTAATCTTTCTATGTATTTCATGTATATACTACATACGCACACATAAAATACTACTATGTATTTAGGTGAACCAAAGGCGCATCATAATCTTTCCTACATACGTGAATATATCGCTCGTGTCATTTCAGTGAGCCTTTCTTGTACCTCTCATATTTAATATTTTTCTGTATCGCTTTCTTCTGCTGCGGAGACGATTCAACTGGATTGATCATAAGTAATTGAAAAGTCAGTACTTTATCGACATTTTCTTGGTTTTCCAATTTCTAACCAATTTCAGTCTTAACAATAAAACAATAGACTTTCATCATTCATAAAAATCATTGCTTATATTAATATCATTTTAATTTATAAAATGAATGTAAATAAAATTATATAATTACGTTTGAGTTGTATTAAATGTTCACTTTATATTTTATAAGATGATGAAAAACAAAAAATGTTTTATAATTATATTGTTCAGTAATGTACATATGATTATATAATTAATATGAAATTGGAACAAATCGTTGCAAAATTCTCAATTTATAATTTTCATTTTATTCTAATAGTACGATGATATGAATGTTCGACGGTAGCATTTATTTTCATAAAAATAAAAAATAAAACAAAAAAAATTGTAACGTCATATGACAAGTTAAATCATTTGCAAATTTACCCATTATCTGTTTAACTTTTTATTCCATGTTATTTTAATCGCTCGTATGCCATAAAGTTAGTACAAATATAATAAATATAAATATTATATAATAATGTTTATTGGTACTTTTTATTCAGCATATTAATCATTAAATTTACATTGTGATTATTAAAAGTCTTATTTGCGTTTTATGTAGAACTGCAATTTACACAGGCTAATCTAAAATAATCCAAATACATATTATAAATATAGATATATATAATTTAAAGATATGAATATTTGTAGTTTAAAATTAAAACATTATTTGAGCATTTACTATATTAAATAATAATTTAAGAATCAAAAACTTTCTGCTTAAAAAATCGATCGGGATTAGTTACTTGGCCGTAGTAATAAATAATGTTTTTACGATATTTTTATGATTGAAAATCCTTTAAATCAAAGATTATAACTTTCAATGAATTGTTTAATAAAAAACTATTATTTATATTGATAATAATATTTAATGTATATCTTGCGAATATATTATGATATCATATAATTTCGGTTTTAAAAGTCTCGAAAGTGAAGTCCTTTAAATAATGAACATTTGGAAATAGAATATAAGAAACTTTTTAAAATGTTGAATATATTGGAGTGCAATTTTATGACAGGAGCTAGTCGTAATATTATTTTATTTTATTTGTTTTTTGTTTCTTATTAAAAACAATGTTATTTCACCTTTTTGTAAAAATCACCTAGCACATTATGAATAATAATACAATTTATTTAACCACCTCCGAAGCTTGAAACGCTTTGTATTCAACAAGCTATTAAATTCAATTTAACTATAATTAAATGGCGGTAAATACCTTTTGAGAAAACGTAACGAACGCATTCATTCATAAGTGCACAATATTATTCATCGAGAGTTTTATTTAATTTATTTTAATTGAGAAGGGAGAAGCTTTGTATATATATATAGTCTGGTAACAAATTGATTAAAACTTAACGAGTGAACATAATGAGAAGTTACTCACGAAGTTTCGGCACCGAGTCATTATCGAAGAAACAAGTTTGCTGATTTTACAAATTCGGAGACAGACTGTAAAATCCAGAGGAATGAACGAAATCGCTTAATTAATTTAACGAGATAACGTAATCGTATGCATAAATTCTCCGAAAAATGATAATAAGGTGTAAGATTAGCAAGACTTTTTTTCTTCGCGGAGCGCTCTCATCCATCACGGAGACCTCCTATCGCTTTGTAGTGGGTGATCGCCTGCACAATCTCAACGCGGTCGGCGACAGAGGTAAGGCGATCAGAATGCAGGAGCGCTTACCAGCGCCTGGCAACGGCCACATGCTGACCGACCCGTCGACCGTCGGTAACGTGAGCAACTGCACGACCGTCTTGTACGCGACGCCCGTCAAGGAGGACCGCGTACTCCTCAACTACGTCAACGAGTGGATCAGCGCTTACGTGTTCCTGGCATGTAAGTAGCCATGCGCCGCACAAGTCGCCTGTCCTGCGAAGGGATTTCACTTACCGACAATGATCCACAAGTGGAACGAGGGGTTAGGCTTGTGCTTGCGACCGTCGTGAGACCTATCGATTTGCTTATGACCCTGGACCACCGAAGGTGCTTCGGCGATTTCACGGGATTATTGATGTGGGAGGGCAAGCTGTCCAATGTAATAAAATAACGGGATAATATTACGTATTATCATAATAGCTGGGCAGGAGGGGTGGCTTTCTGTGATTAATATATATATATATATATATATCGACGAGTCGGTTTTTTTTTTGTTTTTTCGTTTTTTCTTATACGTATTAATGATATGCATTTTCAACGGAAAGTTTAAATTTTTATTACTAATGTTGAAATCCAAGTTCAGAACAATTATACAATTATTATCCATCAATCTGTATGCGTATCTACGATTAATTCGTGAAAAGTAAATGCTAAATTTTATATCTTCTTTCATTATCTTATGAATATTAAAAAGGCATTTATTTGTGAAACTGTACTCTACAAACAATTTTATTAATTCCTTGAAGCAGACCTTTTGAAATGATTACTATGACTTTCATGAAAATTCTCTTATCTAGTTCACATACAAATGAATAATTAATAATAATTAATAATATGAATAAATAATAAATAATAAAGACTTTACTTTTTTGCCATTCAATGTGAATAAAGTTATTTAATAGTACATGTAATATACTTAATAAAAATAATATCTGTTGAATACTGAAAAGTATCTTCCTCCTTCTGTACTTTTCTTTGCAATAAAAATAGATTTTTGAAGCAGGTAAAATATAAAAAAATTAACTTGGTTATATAAATTAAACTTCGCTAGTGACATTATAATAATAAAATAAAATTTTATGAATTTTATAATTATTTGAATTGCATGAAAGTAAAACTTGAAAATTTAATTATTAAAATAAAAGAGTATATACAAATCAGTAATTATGACTTTAAATATTATAATTCAATTTAGTCAATGCATAATTATAGAAAATAAACCATCTCTTATGAGCTATGAGCTAATAATTTATTCCAATTGCTATTATATTTAATTTTATAATTAGCTCAAAGCTTTTGTAAAGAAATAAGTTTAAAGTCACTATCACAATTTTAATCAGCATAGGCAAATAAATAAGAAATAAATAGATAAAGAATTGAATGTTGAACTTTCATATTGAAGTCACTTTTGTTTGGCAACTTTTTTCATGGTTTTTTTACTTTTATTCCTACCTTTCATAAACTTTGGATTGTAGCATTAGATTTGCATGTTTAATAGATTTTAAATATATTAGGTAGGTACATACAATTAATACATTTATTTATTTATTTAGTTATTACCTTGCAGTTAAATATTTACATGTAAACGTTATTAGTTTATTAAATACTTTTCTATTATGTGCTTAGTGTTTATTCATTAGTTCTAAGCATTTGTAAGAATCGAAACACAAATTTAAAAATAGTTGAATTTCTAATAATTATGTAAATCTATGCATTTAATATAATGTTTATTATTTCTTCGAACGGTATGTTTAGCACACATTATTACAAATTAACAACCTACTTATTTCAATAATTTTTGAATAATTTATTGATTTAATTCTAATAATCCTTACTGATTTAAAACAAGAATTTTTTAATTCAAAGAAATAAAAACATTAGAAGTGTGTTTCATTCAATTTCTTCAACTTCTCTAATATATAAAATCTATATTAAAAAAATTAAAACAAAATATTCTATACAAATTAATGGTATAGAAAATTCAACAATGTTGACTTGCATCGTGAAAAGTGATTTTATATTATTCGACAATTGAGATAAATTGGAAGTTTATATTTCTGACAGAATTCAGATTTTATTTAATAAAAGATAATAATTTTTAGTTAATAAAATGTTATAAGTGACAAAAAACAACTGGTTAATAGACAAACGATTTAATACGTATTTGATTTTAATTACTTTTTTTTTTAAAGATTACTTTAAAAATATAGAAAAGTTAAAATAAACACGTAGCAAACGTTGTTTGAAAAATTTTATACACTTCTTAACGTTGAAAAATATTTTATCACAAATATTTAAAAAATAATTTAAGGAATGAAAATTAGTTTCAAAATCAGTCCCATAACTTTGTTTTTATAATGAAATCGATTCAATCCTGTGCATTTTATAAATAAAATAATAGTAAATATATTGAGTCAAATCTATATATATATATATATATATATATATATATATATATATAATTGTTTCGAGAAAAATATCGTAATATTTTTCCTGAAAAACAACATTGTAAAATAAAATTATCAGTACTATTTATGATATTCGTTTGATCAAGAAACCTTCAAAATTCAAATAAATGATCGATACAACGTATTAAACTCCACAATCTCAATTGAACATTCCTTTAAATATTATCAATCTACAATCTATTTTCACGTTGTATGTCAATTCATGTAAAAAGCATTTCATATAAAAATCTCATCGTGTCCCTTGTTTTACCAAATTCATAGACAACCAGGAGAAATTTTACTTGTACGTGATCGTGTCAGTATCGGCGGGAGTCTTGTTGCTGCTAGGTTTAGTAATTGGAAGACTTTTACTAAGTCGGCATCGAACGAAGCGTGATGCCAAGTTCCACGCCAAAGAAGAGACTCTACCCAATGGATTCACCGACGATATATCAGAAATCGACGCAGATATCGACCTGACAACACCCGTGCCAGTACCAATGCAGGATACGAGGTAAAACTTGTCTGCGCGTTATATTATTTGAAATTGGTAATTTTAGCAAAGCTACTCTGTAATGAAATACTCTCGGGTATCGACGAATATCGTATGTTCCACTATAATTTATATTAAATTGTGTAGTCATATTATTAGCGAATAAAACTTTATTCGATGTTTCATCAAATCGTTGAATCATCATTAATTTTAATTAATAAAATCTACCGATGATTATTTCACAACGTAGAAGCTTCTACAAATCCGAGCTGATTGTATAGAAGGCAAATAAAGCTTATAATCGAGGCATTTAATAACTGAAAAATTTTTAATCCTTAAAATTTTCCTATTAGATGTCACTCTGTATATATCCAATTCTTTTTAATAAATGTATATCAATAATTACATTAATATTACGGTAAAAAGCGATAAAAATAAAACTTAGGTATTTACTTGTTTTATTATTATTAATTGCATAGTTATTTTTACATAAAATAAATTAAGTAACTGAATAATTAACGTAGTTAGGCAGAATGTAAAGTCAAGCACTGTAATTTGAACAATTTACAATCTCTGTAATCTTAACGTGTGCCTGCGCACATCCAATCACCACAGATAATTCGCATCCTGCTCAACTAACTCATGCTCGGAATCGGCTAACACCTCCTTTTGCTCCGCAGGCTACCGGAGACGCAACTGGCCGAGCGGCTACACGGTGACCGTTACTACAGCGACGCGAGGATACCGCTGTCTCCGATATCGACGCACTCCCTCGGCGGGATGCGCGTCGACCTCGGTAACCACATGGTTGGCACCGACAGCCTACACACGATCTTGCGACCCGACGGCTCGCGCTTCGGCAGCACCAAAACCAGCTACTACTATGGCTGACAGGAGGACGGGGTCGTCCTGCGCGAGGGCCGACCCCCATCCTCCCAGCTGAGTCCCGTGCCCGAGGTCAGTACGCGCAAGTACTGCTTCTGAGTGACTCCAGCCTCGATATTCACGGAACGGCATCGCACCGAGGCTAATTGACACGAAGTCGGCGAGTCTTAACCTCCTATCCCTCTTCCTATTTAGAATGCGTATGCATCCGTGCGTAAGACTGGCAGACAAACCGAGAGCGATAAAGAGAGAGAGAGAGAGAGAGAGAGAGAGAGAGAGAGAGAGAGAATTATCAGAGTGTGCAGGAACTGAGTGGGAGGGAGGGAGACTCTTGGCGAGCTTTTCGTTAATTTTGTTTGCTGCTCTCGCGACTGGCCATTGGCAGGATTTTCAAACTCCTCATCGAGCGCTGCTTGTAGCAAGCTGGGCCGCTTGAAAACCCAGGCTCTGCACTGATTGTCAGGGACGCTGTTAAAATTAGGCTTCCTACTTGCTTTTAATATTTTTCTACTATCGGAGTTGACGGACGAATTCCAATAATTTTAATAATAATGAATAATTGCTAGTATAAAAAAGATACGAAATTGTAAGACGGAGATTATTTTTATAAAACAAAGTTAATGCTGTACATTGACAGGTTAAAAGTGTTTGTAAAATTGCAGCGCAGCTGTATCACTAGTGCAACGTGACGACTGCGCATTTCTCTCATTCAAATGGAATTTCGTTAAATGTTTAAATTTATTTAAGCGTATAAGGAACATATATATTCTAATAATACATTGTCGATAGAAACTACGATAATTAATAATAATGAAGAAGTTTGTGCGAAATTTATTCATGTACTATTATTTTATAAAACTTATTCGTTAGGTACATAATAATGTATTGATCGATAACTCATTTGTCGATACTTTTACGTTTCGGCATGTAGACAAATAGCTCTTTATAAAGAAATCTTAGCTTATAATTAAAATTTCGTTATACACCATTCTATGCTGTAATTTATAAGATATTCTTATAAAATAAAAATATATACATTAAAATAAAATAAAGAAAGAAAAGGAAAAACAACTTAAGTGTTTTGTCGGATGAACCAATTTGTAAAAAATAAAACAAAAAAAAAACAGAAAAATTAAACGAATAAAAATAACCTTACAAAATCATTTTGTACATTTGAATTATAAATTCATTTACCAATATAAATATAAAACCATCCATTCAGAACTTACTTCTTTTTATATTAGTTAAAATAGTACAGAGCACATTCGCATTAATTCTCTCGCGCAGCTGACATCGTCAGAATTGTCAGAATTTTGATTAGATATCTTTTAAGTAAGAAGAAGCGAGAACATTTTTTTTCGAATTTTAAAAAGCGATAATTAAGTACGAGCGCGAATACGTATGTTTATATATAGTTTTTAGTCTTCTTCCGGACTGATATTTCCTTCATTCATCGACATCGACTATATATATATATATGTGTGTGTGCGTGTGTGTGTGTGTGTGTGTGTGTGTGTGTGCATCGCAAGTAGCAGACAAACTTTTTAGAGATATTTTACGTCATTAAAATTTTTATTACTCAACTCGTAAGGAACAAAAAAATCAAGTAGATAAATATTGCTTTCGAACTTTAATTGCTCGTGTTTAATACATATGTATGTTGCTTTGTAAATAAAAGGGAAACACAAATGTTTCTCTGTTTAATTAAAATTAGTAGTAGCGCCCAAATGTCGTCGATATTTTACTTTAAGATGTTTACTTTCTTCTAGTGTGTACAATTTAAATGAACGCATACTTACCGTTCAAGATTATCTATTTGTATAATTAATGTTTTGTATTATTTCCTTATCTTACATAGCCATTTCAAGAAATATTATAACTACGGCTGTGAACTCATGTAATTGAATCGATAAATTTTCAAAGAAGTATATAAATATATTATAAGTTTTTCTTGTAAGATATGGTGAAAGTAATTTTCACGATACTTATTTCTCCAATATTAAATTTTAAAATGCACATCAAATTTTTGAAAACATATGCTTTTTTGTTCAGTAATTTTAGGTTTCGAACTTTTTTTTAATTACAAATCAGTTGAATTTATTGAATAATCAAAATCAAAGTTTATTAAATTGTGCATATAAATATAAAAAATTAATTCATTGCGCGATTCAGAAAATCTTTGATGTAAGATCAGCATATTTTACATCGATATAAACAAAAAAAAAAGTATATTCCTTATAATATTCTAACACTGAAATACGACTTACGTATAAACTACTCCATAGAAATAATTCAATTTTTTAATTTTATTTTCTTTAATCATTTTGCTTTGCAATATTTTTACTCTGAACAAATGTATAATTAATTAATCACGAATGAATGCAACAGAAGTGTACCAAAGATAACTAGGATCAATTATTGAAATGAATAATGATACATTTATTCTTGTTGAAAAATTTTCAGCGGAGTGCCTGACATCCAGAAGATCTCTGATATATCAGGTGTACGTACAAACCATATTCTACAATCCAAGAGCATTTTCTCAAAAAATGTCTTTAACCAATGTAATATGAGTTGTGTCTATTGTTATTTATCTTACTGCCTGAAAAAGCTAATTGAAAATGCTTATGTCATTTCATAGTGTCAATAATAAATGTCGAAGAGACTGAGTTTTTCATGGAAAATTACACGAGAAAGCTCATTGATTAACAAACATTATTTATAATGATATACGATATCAAGTTCAAATATTTACGCCAAGTTATTTATATTTATAATAATTAAAGTGTATAAAATTTAAGACAAATTGAATGAGTTGATTAGTTAAAGATTTCTGATCATCTTTCTCATTTATTAACGAGATTATTATTATTCAACTTTACGTGCACCTATTATAACAGATTTTCATGTTAATTCATATGACCTTTTCTATATAAGTCATATATCCAAAAAAAATAAAGCAAAGCAAAAAAAATATAAAGAAAAAATCGTGTCAATAGGTTTCTATGTAAGCTATTTACGATTTGTAAATATTACTGTATAAAAGACGTTAAATATCTCACTAAGAATCCATATTCTTCGACTTAATGCATTTATTGTAAAAGCAATTTTTAAAAAAAGTTGGGATTATTCCGACTGTAATTTAATGACAAATGTAAAATCGTAACGTATTTATCGAGCTTACGATTATAATTAATTTCTTCGATTCAATCTATTTTTATTCATTTTCACTCGTTTCAATTACTATGTATAAATAAATGAATATTGTTTATATTATTTTGTCTACATTAAAAATAAATAGAATATACTAAATAAATTGTATTTAAGAGAATAAAAATTAAAGAAAGATTGTAAATTAAAAAAAAAAATTCTTACAATCTATAGTATAATACAGTATTTCATCGTATATGTTCCATGTAATTACTAAATATCCATTAAAATTCATTATTTTAGTAAATCGATATCCGCGAGTAAGTTTCGATTAAATAATTTAGCACTAAATAAGTCTAATAAATTTTAAATAACATAATTAAGATATTGATAGCATTTTAAGATTGTACATTAACTTTTTTTATTTTGCATTATAAATTTAAATGCATATTGCTCGTTAAATATTAATTACCTAATTGATTGAAATAAATCAATTTCCAATGAATAATTATTAATATATAACAATATTGATTTTCTGAACGTCGGCATTCATAGGGAAATGATATGAAACTCATGTGAAATAACACAAATTATTGTGAAACAACTTGAAGTTTTGGAAATAATTCATTAATTTCATTGTATTAGAAACATATAATTTACCATAACTACTTCTGTTAAGGATGATGTACACTTAGATTAATTGCAATTCCGTTGCTTTCAAATAAAGTCCGACGTACATTGCAGGCGGCAAATGAATAGCTACAAATTTGAATTCATATTATCTGCTTGATAGAGAATACATAATGCAGACTGCCGATATTATTAAGCATCGTATCTTCATGAATATTGACTTTTCGTTTCTTCCAATTTATAAATATTTAAATAAGTAGAGCCGAATATGCTGTTTAATAGAATATTACAAAGTATCAGATTCTTCCACTGAATATCTTATTTCATCTTCATTTATCTTTATTTTTATGTTAGATATTTATTTACGTTACATAGATCATTGAAACAATTATAATTCTTAAATAAGAACTCTTCAACATCCTATACACTTAGGTTTTATAAATATTAATATATAAATTAATTAAATATAATTCTTATAATTTAATTTAATAACAATGAAAGTTAACAGGTTGACTTGAATTTTTGGAAATTCGTAATAACGTGCGCGTATTCGACAATCCATATACTCTCGACATATTTTAAATTTTATATTTAATAATTTTCTAAATAATACAATAACAAATTCATTTAATATATATATTTAAATTTGAATGCATTTATTATTAAAAATTATTTAAATAATAATATTAATATTATCTATGTTACACTATCATGTGTGTAATAGATTAATACGTAGTTTTTAATTAAATAATTTCATTAAATAAAAAATTTCTACCTTTCATTAGTTAAATAAAATATATTGTAGTCCATCATATATATATATATATATATATATATATATACACACACACTTAATCATAATTATTGTTTATTTATAGTTTATTGTATCGTATCATTTTTTTTTTAATAATGACATTTCATTTAATTAATTTGATTTTCGTACTATATATTATCGATTTCATAATATTATCAGGAAAATAATTATTTTTAATTAATTTTTTATATATTCCGAACGAATATATATGTAAATACACTTAATAATTTTAATTATAATATTGAATATGTAACAGTTACGTTGCTTTTAAGACTAATAAAAATAAAAATAAATAATCGTATGGATTAATTACAAAATATTGTATAAAACTTACTGCATATTCTAGATGATATTAATAATAAATATACAAATTTAACGACATATGCATTTAATAACACATATATCGCATACATTACATATTAGTATTATGCATATTTTATGAAAAAATCCTTTTTGTAATATTTAATATTACATATATATAATAAACTTCAACATTATTGATTACCCATGGCAGAATCTAAACTTTTTATAAATTAGAAGGTTATTTTAATGAAAAATATTTTGATCATATTTTATTAAACAAAAAAGTGTTCGGCTCTTGGATGCACATAATAAATAAATCTTTAACAGACTAATATATATATATATATATATATATATATATATATATATATATATATATTTGGAGAATAACCTTTGTATTTCTCCTATGTCAGAAAAAACAATCATAATTGCTTAAGTCGTTATATGGATCTAGTTAAATTTAATAGATGAAATATCTTAATTAATTAATGGGATACAGAAGGAATATAAAAATTAAAAAATTGTTATACATAAAAGCAGATTTAAAATAAACGTCCTTCGATATTCCTACAGTGTTTATGAATGACTGAACAGATGCAAAACATTGTAGCATGCTACTTACATTACTCAAATAAAGTATATATGCACGTCTTAAAAGTCATGTAAACGTTTGGGAGAAAATATAATGTATGAATGCCAGTGCGTATAAGCAAGAAAAAAATGCGAAGAGCAATTAACCGCACGAGATGTACCACTCAATACTCATATCTCAAATAAATTGAAATAACACATGTTTATATTAGAGAAAAAAGTAAATAATGCCGTCGGTATACGACAATGTACGTTATAGTTACTATCGTATATTGTATAAATCATTGTTGTTATATCATCAAAAATACATGATATGAAATATTGTCATAAAAAACACTACAAATATTTGTTATTGATTTATAAAAAAATAATCCTATGTGTATCCTACAATAAGCATTCAATTTCATAACAATTTAAAGCTCTATATTTTAATAGGAATAGTATTTTGAATTTAATATTTACTAATTTATATACTTTTATAACGA